TTACATAAAACATTGATGGGAAAATGGGCTACCTCTGCACCACCACTCTGGCAGAAAACGCTGTGGAGCCCTTTAACTGTGCTTGCAGCACCAAATCTGTATTTGATGCAGTCACAGTGGAAGAAAACCCCACACAACATGGATAATAATACCTAATCAATATTTTCTGTTAAAAATATACAGCACTTGCTGTTTTATCTCATCATTTGATTTTGATAGCTGGGGAAAATATGGCAATATATAGTGATACTGCAATATCGTGATAATATCGTATTGTGACCCAAGTATCGCGACATGTATCGAATCGCAACACTCATGCCAATACTCACCTCTACACATCAAGGTTACATACGTAATAATTAATAAAGGTTTTACCTAAGAATCCTCTGGAAAAAACAAGAAGATGTAATAATGAAACATCTGTTTCTTTTTCCAGTTCAAATAGATAAAAAGGCACTAAAGCAGGTGGATGGAAATGGAATACCTGGTATGTCCATGAAATCATCCATGCTGGGCTGCAGTGGAGTCAGGCCTGGCTGGATCATGTCAGCATTGCTTGTGTATGCTGAGAGAAAAGCATAATAGGCATTTATTATTAAAGGAACATGTCTTATTTTGACAGGATATTAGTTTTCAGTCGATAATTTAACAATAACATACCCCTCCTCACTTTTTTACAAACCTTCTTTTCACAGAAATATTGTTTATTTTATTATTAAATATTTATTGTTTCCAACATTATAATCTTAGTCAGATCTGAACTGTAGAGAAGTGCTTCTAAGAGGCAATGTGGTTGGCAGATGTGGAGAATATCAGTTGAAATAACCCAAACTTTCGGCTATGACATTATATTTCAAAACAACAGGCTACTGTCCTTCTGTGCTTCTGATATGAGATGGTACTTGGATAGCTTGGCAGCAGCACATTCAGCAACAAAGAAGAAATGGCTGCACCTTGTGACAGCAGCAAGATACTCTTGCACGGTTTTGGAAATTATTTATGAGCTAACAGGTTTCTTTAGTGTTAAAAACATTCCTATCATCTTGTATTAATAATGGGGCATTCACACAAATCAGTACATCTGTATAAAAAACACATTTGCCAGTTTGGTATGATGTGGTTAGATATTCCCCTGGTCAGGGAGAGTAATTTGAACGGCGGATGAATTCAGTTCACGGGAAAAAGGCTCTGCTGGTGTGATATCTGGAGCTAAGGAACTACAGTGGGGAGAACAGAGGAGTTCGACGGGCAGTGAAAGTACCAGAGCATTAAGTGCCAGAGCGGTGAGAGGCGGTGATGGCTGGCTGTCGTTTGCCTACAAGCTACGGAAGGATGGTGAAAATGAACAGCTTTTTTAAATCCGACCTAAAAACCTAAGAGTACTCCCTACTTCTTCCTTTGTAAAAATTATTTTCTCTATCTTCGAGTTTGATTGAAAAAAAGCTAATTATCTGCTATGCTTCACCTTAAATCACAGCCAAAACTAGCCTCTGACGATTTTTTTTGTGACGCAAGAAGACACAAAAGTTCAGATGATCAAATCATTGCAGATTTCTCCGCTGCAGTGGCGCTCTTGCTTTACTGTATTCCCCAACAATAGCAGTCTTTCACCGTCACAACTGTTAAGTTTCTGGCCTGTATACTGGTATGTTTACTTTCATCATTCCTTTTTGGCCTGGTTACTTATTTGGTCTTGCTGTTCTCCTCCTCATTCTAATTACTCATTTCTCCCACCTGCCACCATAAGTAGGCATTTGACCAGTTGGCAGTGCCAGATTTTCTGAAAAGCCATGATGAGTAAGCATCCAGCCTTCCATTTCTGCCTGATTGTCTGATCTTGACCTTGTTTTTGCCTTCTGGATTGCTCTGGTTTGCCCCTGAATGAGCTCACGTCGGCCTCTGTTTTCTGGACATCCACCCTGCTTCTGTTCCCTGGATTTTGTCTCCTGCTAAAACCCTGTATTGGACTGAATTCCCATGCTCTGTCCCTTGCCTGACTCTCTAGTTGTGCTTACTATATCTCCCTCTTGATTATCACGACTCTGTGTGTCTCTGGCTCTGACCCTGATTCTGCCTCCGGACCTACGAGCCCTCCCAGCCTCTTGTTTAAACCCATCAGGTTTGTCGACTTTTGGATGCTGGACGGATCTGGGCAGCAGTCCCCATCTGCAAAAACCCAATTCTTCGCATGACCAACTGCTGTATGGCCTTGAACCTTTTTGTTGCAAGGACACAGTGTTCTCCCAGCATGCAGCTCCACCCATTACTCCTATGGGTAAGTGTACTAAACAAAACAAAACCAGGTACAAATAAACCAGATGATATATCCCACTGTGACTCTATGAGCAGATCAATGGAAAACATGTTGATGCTCTGCACTTAATTGGATTTATGTTTGAAAAAAATAATTAAAAGGGCTCCGATGCTTTTTGAGGGTGTGGAGAACTCACTGTTGTGTCGGTCGCTGGTCCAGGGACAGGGTTTCTGTGTCATCGTGAACAGAGTGTCGGAGATATCAGAGAGGAGGCAATCCAGGTCAAACATGTGAGCTTCCACTGGAGCAACTTCAGGTTGGTGATAGGAATGACTGGCAAATCTGTCCAGCTTGGCCTGGCTGTTCTGACCCTGGAATGTAGACATAAACTTAAAACATTTCCAAGTGTGATAGCAAGTAGCAGAGAAATTTCTCAGACATGCATCAAAGATGGGCTCAAGATTCAATAAAATGTCAGAGATAAAAGGTTACTTGAATGCCCATAAAAATACCAACGAACCACCATATTCTGGAAAGTAAACTCACAGGAAATGCAGCTCATGACTCGGTCCGTTTCCCTTTGCACACAGCGCTTTTTTGCACCCAGATATTCTGTGTCATCTTCACCGACCAACCCAGATCTGGAGCCTCTCTTATAGGGAAGCCCAGATAGAGACGGAAGCTGCTTTGATTACGTTTGAGGAAACGACATCCCCTCTGAGAAGATTGTTTAGTTTTGCATGCATATCTGTGTGTTTGCTGTCCAGAGCCATTATGAAAAAATAGGGAAAACATTTTACTCTCATTGTCAAAAAAAACACAAACCCCCAAACAGATTCTCATTATGTCGTTTCATTTTGACGTCTCAACTTTTCAAAAACAGCAGCAGCCTTTTGTCCCTGACCTGATTCTGGGAGATGCACACACGTGCAAACAGGAAGACCTGAGGGCCTGGCTAAGCAAACTGTGCTTGGTTGAGTGGGGATAACACACATAAATCTCCAAATCTCCCACCTCTGATGCCACATGTTGACATGTTTTGGGTTCCCTACATCTGAGTGGTGATTCAAAAATATGAGCAAAATCCAAAAAGAAGAAACGAGGGAAAGAAAATAAAGAAATTAACTCTAATATTTGAATTTGAACATTATCCATCTTTAATAAGACATGGATGCCTTAATTACTCAAAACAATACCATTACAGCTAAACCAATTGCCTTTAGTTTAATTGGATTTTGAGGATTTGATTTATTACTGACAAAATCTGATTTATTTTAAAGATTATTTTTATGCTCTAGTGGCCCTTATTTTGTTAGTTTTGAAAATATGTACAGGAAAGTGGATTATAAGAGAGGACCTGAATTCGAACCGTCAACAGCTGCTATATGGGTCATGGGCTCCACCTCCATACCATAGCAGCAGCCCTGATTTACAGTTTATAAAACCTCTAACTCAGTCTCAAGTTGTAAAGTTGACACCTTAAGTGATTTTTGTGAGTAACTTCTGATTTGGTAAAAAAAAAGTCTGACTCACTTGAGCCAAAACTGAAGTCATAAAACAAGATTTAAAATGTTCTTAAAACAAGGAAGTGCACAAACTCAAATTCTGACCATCCATCCATCCATTATCTGACACGCTTGTCCTGAGAGGGGTCACGAGGGGTGCTGGTGCCTATGTCCAGCAGTCAATGGGCGAGAGGAGGGGTACACCCTGGACAGAACGCCAGTCCATCGCAGGTCAACACAGAGACATACAGGAAAACCCTTCACAGACACACTCACACCTAAGGAGAATTTAGACAAGTCAATTAACCTGACAGTCATGTCTTTGGACTGTGGGAGACAGTCGGAGTACTCTGTTCCAACACCAGCTTCAGGCCTGGGGGGAGGGCAACATCCTTGTTCTCATTCTGCAGCTCATGCAATATAAGTAAAAAATAATCATTAATGTACTCCACAGAGGCCAGAGAGCCTGAAAACTAATTGCCTTCATTACTTTTGTGAGTTTTTCAGGTTGAATTATCAGTATGTGGCACTGCTCAGGTGTTTTGAGAGTCCAGGTTTCTCTGATGTTGAGCTTCAGCTCTTCTGCATTGTATGGTCTGGCATATTGCATCCTCCTTTCTAGCACTATAAAGCCATACATTTTCTACTAGGTGTTAAGCACAGGTCATGTTGCTTGCCAATTAGGAAAAGGAATATGATGATCCTTAAACCAGGTACTGGTAGCTTGGCACTGTGTTCAGTTGACTAGTCCTGTTGGAAAATGAAATCTGCATCTTTATAAAGTTGGTGACCTTGGACCTCAGAAAACCCAGCAAACCAACAGTAGGAGATTACGTGGCAACCCAAGCCATTACTGACTAAACAACTCATCAACATTTCAGGCCTTTGTCTTTAGCCCAGTTGAGATGTTGTCACTTGTTCAAGAGCAGCTTGACACAAGGGACGCAAAAGGAAACCCACATTTTGCATACATCTGTGCATTATAGGCTGAAGCATGGACTCTAACTGTAGTCTACTCTTTGTGCATATCCCCTTCATTTTTAATTGGTTTTGTATCACAATACTCTACAGGGAGCTGTTATCCCATTGCTTGTACATTGCTTACGTTCACCTCTCTATTAGTGTAAATGGACAGAGAATTCTGTGAACAGCAAGCCTCTTTTATAACGACCTTATGCGTCTCACCCTCCTTGTCCAAGGTTTCAGTGCTCGACTGGTAGACAGCTGTCAAGTCAGCTGACTTCAACAGCCTTCTGCAGCATTTAGAACCACAGTGAGAGACATTTCAAAGGCGTTGCAGGTTTGGGAGTTGATAAGTTGATTGTTAACGTGTGGCACAAGGCTCTTCAAAATTGAACCTTTAAGCTATATTCAAATTTTTATGAGATTCTGAATTTGGGTCTTTTATCAGTTGTCAGCTGTAATCGTCTAAATTAAAACAATTACAACATATCAGTCTGTTTTTGAGTGGATGTGCTCTCTTCATCCTCTGGCATGGGAGCTGGCTCGGAGCTCGTCTGCCTGGCTGTGTGTTTCCTGGACGGGGCCGCCTTTTACAGCTGCTTTTTGTGTCTCTGCTTCTGTCTCCTTGAACTCCAGTCGGCCTCGGCAGATGGCCGCTCACACTGAGCCTAGTTCTGCTGGAGGTTTCTTCCTGTAAAAGGGAGTTTTTCCTCCTCCGCTGTCGCTACAAGCATGCTTGGATTGTATTTGAGTCAATAAGTCAATGCAATCAACTGGTTTCCTTAGATAGAAAACTTTGTATCAATTTGACTGTATGATCTAGTTGAACTGTAAAGTGCATTGAGATGACGTGTGTTGTGAATTTGGCGCTATATAAATAAACTGAATTGAAATTGAATTGAATTGTTTTTACTAAACTAGTATATTAAATAAGTTTTGCTTTTTGAAAGGAATTACTGAAAAATAAACAACTTTTAAATTGAGTTCTGATTATATAACCAGTACCGTTATAGGTCTACCTTAAGATTAATTAATTTAATCTCAGATTAATCTGGTGGAGGATAGAAATTTCAATATATTTCTTCTTTTTCAGGATCCATTAGAATTTAATGAACCAACTCAGAAAGAGGTTAGATATGAGAATTATGCCACAGTGGCTTTAGGAACTGTGTAGTTTCTCTGTTCTTTATTCAGTAGAGACAGGATGTATGTATACTTTTGAGCAAGGGAGAAAAATCCCAAGTATTAGAGAACAATGCACAACAAAGGTGAATTTGAACATATTTATTATGTATTAAATATTTATTATATTTTTATTATTATTAAAGTTTGTATTTATTTATTCTATTTAATTTTTATTTATTCTATTTAATTTCATTCTTCTAAAATATACATTTTATATGAGTCTTTATTCAATTTAATTCAGTAATGAAATCATCTAAAGCTGGAAAAGGGTGCCTTCTCTGGGTTGGGGAGGATGTACTGCCCCTAGTGGAGGATTTAAACTATCTTGGGGTCTTGTTCATGAATGAGGAGGGGATGGAGCAGGAGATAAACAGGCAGATTGGTACAACATCTGCTGTAAAACAGGCAAGGTACCAGTCCCTTGTAGTGAAAGAGAGCTGAGTCAAAAGCGGACGATCTACGTTCCTACCCTTATCTATGGTCATGAGCTCGGGGTCATGACCGAAAGAATGAGAACCTGGATACAAGTGGCCAAAATGGGTTTTCTCCGTAGTGTGTCTGGGCTCTCCCTTAGAAATAAGGTGAGAAACTCAGTCACCCGGGGAGGACTCATATTAGAGCCACTGCTTGGGATTCCCCCAGATGAGCTGGCTCAAGTGTCTTGGCAGAAGTCATCTGGGCCTCCCTACTGAAGATGCTACACCAACGACCCGACCCTGGATAAGCAGAAGATGAATGGATGGATGGATAGATTAAATACTTAGGTTTTCAGTGTCTTTATCCTTGTAAGTAAAGGTCCAGCAGGTTATATCTTGGTTTGGTTTTCGGTTAATTATGGCTTGCTTTATTCTTTTGTTTTTGCCGGTTAGGGTTTGCCATATTATTTCTGTTTTTACAGCTGTTTTCTAGTTAGTTTCTCTCTATTTGTTGTTTTTTCTTTGTTTTTATGCTGTATTTTGCTTTCTCCAGTAATCATTGCTGAACTTTTGGTTTTCTTTGTTTCTTCCTTGAATGTTTATCACCCAGAACACCCTCCCCTTAGCCAGAGCCAACTGTTATTTTGTAGACTCAGTTCACCTGTGTCCCCTTATTCACTTATTGCTTTCCGCTGTTTTCTCCATAACCTTCTGCTTGCCCTAAATATTCATTAGGATTAATGACTTGGGGAGTCAACAAGAGAAGAATAGGCGATGTTTACCTCTGTGATTTGGATATACTAACTTTAGCTAAGTATTTCAGGCTGCACAATTGTCATAAACTGGTATGGCACATAATGGCAGCTCAGGTAAATAATAAAGACGGAGATTAGACAAGAGTTTGGAATTTGGAAAGAGAGAGGTAGATGTTGTGTTGCTCCCCTTAGTATTACCAGTAAACATTATTACCCAACACATAAAGCACAGCAGACCACTTCTTGCTGGATCAGTAGGTGATTTATTTTCAAACTAACAGTCCTATAGTTACATGGAACATTCCTATGACCTAGTGGCAGTCTGCCCTCTGGCGGTAATTACTGGTATGGTTCAAACATAACATCTTCTCCCTACTAAGACTTGTTGTCAATAACAAACAATTACAAAGTTACAGTTTTAAACTACATATGGTTACATAACATACAACACTACAGCAGTATATTTCCCATTAAACCACATAAGGTTATATAATAAATACATACCTGAGATAATTTTTTTCTTTCCATATCAATAAAATTAATAGGA